GCATACTCTTTCTTTGCGCAGAGGTGCTGACAGCAATAGCATTCTTTCTTATAATGTTCATTCCAGCTATTCCACAGCCTACGCTAACAATACAACGTGATTTGAACATTTGAAAGTCAAAAGATTTTCTTTGTGTTGGGAATCAGCTGATAAAATGTTTTCATAGAACTCTGCTCACAATTCTAATTGTTCTGTTGCTGATATGACGATTTCGCCGTTAGCCTTCTTGAGGCTACTTGATATGGTGCTGTTATTTACTAATTTCCTAATGAGCTACGATGAGTTCTAACCATGAATGTGCTTCGGCAGCTATATTATTGGTCCACTTTCGTTTATTCCGGAGGGCACTGCGTTTAAGGTTTTGATCCACTGTACGGAATGTGCTATTACCTATCAAAAATTGATTCGTAATTTATATATGAAGTTCCGTGGTCAGTTGACATTGTCCAGTAATAAAGCTGTACCTAATTCTTTATAAATATGAAAATATATTATGTTAATATTTTACTTAATAATATTGTTGTTGTGGTTTGAGTTATTGCTATTGCGCACCTTTACTCTTTTGTGGCTGGGGGTCTTATCCCTGCCCCATACTAAACTTTAACTATACTAAAATTATTATCATTTATTTATCTTTTAACTGCTGACGAACCGTAGATCGTCATAGTCACTATCCGCATTAGGTTGAAATTGCAGCTCCAATGAATCTGCAAAGGTCTCGGCTTTGGCTATGTCTGTGAGAGCCTGCCGGTCGCTCCATGAGTAAGCGGCACTTTCGGTTTATGTTTAAACCTAAAGTACTTATTCAAAGCCCAGAAGGTTTTGTCACCTGTATCAATTCCTGACAAAAATTCGCACCAATTTTCATTACTGTGATAGCTAATTTTTTTTCTGATCTCGTTGGAGAGGCGATTGGCTTCTCTTCTGCTTATCGGGTCTCCAATTATTTGTCCAAATTTTCAAATCGCATTTCGCCGCCTGATGATTTGTTTGATGTACTGCGGCAGGTAGAGGTAACTACTTGGTTTTGGTGGTGGAGCCATTATCGAAGGCCTACAGACCACAAGGTCCTCAGTAGTTTCTGGACAATTGTTTATACTTTCAACATCAAACTGGTTCTTAAATGCGCCCCAGTCGGTGGTTACGTACGTGGCATTCATCTTGTTTACTGGACAGTTTTCAAGAATGAAAAGGACTGGTTTGTGATCCGAGTTTAGTTCATCAATGACCTCTATGTGCACGTTCGGCTTCTGGTTGCTTGATATGGCGAAATCAATCACGTTGCCAAAAGTGTTCTGTGATAAGCCCGTCAATATCCCTGCCAGTTCTATTTGAACTTCTGTCACCTCAGCTACTATGGTATGCGTTCATGTCGCCCATTAGGAAAATTGATGTGTCGTTGTTGAGGAGAGACTCGAGCACATTTGGGAGCATTTGAAAGCTAGGCCTGTATGCTGATACCAAATTTATAGAAGTATTTTTAAAAAATTTATACTTCCACAGTATTCATGAATAATTATTATTATTATATTTTAGAGAAGCAGGATATACACATGTACACATTTACTGCAATAACACATCAAGGTGTATAAGTTCAGAACGTCGCATTGTTAAAATTTTATTTTCTTAAATTATCTTCTATGCCCTAAATAAAGAACTAATCAATGACTTATTCTGAGTGCTTGTTATATTATAAACTAAACACTTTATTGTTTATTTAAAAATTGATACTACCTGAATTCTTAATAAAACCTATTGTCTTCAATAAAGACATATTTTAAGCAGTAGTAAACTGCAACAACAAAATTTTATTATTTTTTTAATTTATTGAATTTTTAGCTGACCATACTGCCAAATGCCTATCATCAGTAGTCTTGGAAATATTTCTTATATTTAAATATACTTAAATAATTGAGACTAAGTTCGTACCCTGCCAAATTTGAAAGTCAGAGTAAGCGTCCATTAGCCAACTAATCCAAAACCGTACTTGTATTGTATGTATGAACTTGAAGTTTTGTTGATTTGGTGTGAAAGTTTATTAACAAATTCACTTCAGTGAAAATTCACTGATCAGTGGTCTTGGAATTATTTCTTATATTTAATTATTCGTAATAATTTACTGAGACTGCAAGTACCAAGGGGTGAACTCATATCCTGCCAAACTTTAAGCGTAGAGTCAGTGTTCATTAAC